TGATCTGAAACATTTAAGTGTGACAAACATGCAAAAAAATAAGAAATCAGGAAGGGGGCAAACACTTTTTCACACAACTGTATCTCAGACGTCCACACTGACCGGGTATCTCTCCCTTAGCTTAGTGTAAAGGCCGTTAACATAGGAAAACAGCTAGCCTAGCTTAACAACATGAAACACAGGGAAACAACTAGCCTAGCTTAGCTTAACAACTTGAAACAGCTAGCCTAGCTTAGCTTCACAACGTGAAACACAGGGAAACAGCTAGCCTAGCTTAGCATACAGTGTGGAAGCAGAGGTCTGTGATGAACATGTATCTGGTCACCTTGATGCCGTTCAGGTTGTCCACCACCAGGACGGTGCTGCGCTGGTCCTCAAAGCAGATGAAGCAGAACCCTTTGGATTTCCCCGTCTTCTTGTCTCGGACCAGGTTGATGTTGACGATCTCTCCGTACCTGACGAGGATAAAACAACACGGGTGGATTCAGGATGTTCTCTCTCACAGGTGAGTGAAGAGAGAAGAGAGCAGGGAACACGTACTGAGAGAAGACGCAGATGATGTCGCCTTCAGTCAGCTCGTATGGAAATCCTCCTGCAAGGAAACAAGATGGAGACGATAATCCAGAGAGACGCTCTCAGACACCCGCCTCACCCACAGACACCCGCCTCACCCACAGACACCCGCCTCACCCACAGACACCCGACTCACCYACAGACACCCGACTCACCCACAGACACCCGACTCACCCGACTCACCCACAGACACCCGCCTCACCCACAGACACCCGCCTCACCCACAGACACCCGCCTCACCCACAGACACCCGACTCACCCACAGACACCCGCCTCACCCACAGACACCCGACTCACCCGCCTCACCCACAGACGCCCGCCTCACCCACAGATGCCCGCCTCACCCACAGACGCCCGCCTCACCCACAAACACCCAGGCGCTGTCTCTGTACTCTGTGTGCCAGGAGACGGACTCCTTGACCCCGAGGTGAGCCTCCCTCTCGTTCAGCTCGTTGATCAGCTTCACCTTCGTCAGCGGACTGAAAAACACAGATTCAACACTTTTTAATCTGCACCTGAACGCACCATCCTCAGGTTTATATTTTGGCTTTATTGTCATTGCACAGAGTACAGGTATGTTTCATATATATATATATATATATACACACACACACACACACACTTTATAGTACAGGTACTGAAACTGTGAAACGCAGTTTAGCATCCAACCAGATGTACAACAAGCAGAGTAATACACAGTATAAGTACAACAGAGTGAAGTGATACTTACAGTAGACTAGAGGTATATGTGAGTGTACGGTGCAGTAACTAAGAGTATGTAACGTGACGGTAATGTGATTACTTTCAGTCCTCCCAAAACATCTAAACACGCAGCATCACATTTAACAGGAAGCTTCTAGCGAGAAGAAACCTTCAGCCAGACTCCATTCAAACTTTGTCCAACTTTACATTTCACACGTGACGGGGACAATTTAAACGTGTGAGACACAAAGTAAAGATTGAAGACCGACACATTATGATCCACTCTTGAATTCGGCAAATGAAGCGAACTCGAATAATATAAATAAAAACAATAGAAACAAAAACAGTCCTTCGCCAAACTGGACGTGGTACGTCACAGCCTTGAAAACACGCAGAAAAACGTGGATTTATTGAACATATGAGCTGTTTTGTTAATGCCGATTTAATAAACTGCTTCTGAATGATTATTGTAACGGTAGACTTTGTGTTTTACATGTACGTTTACACACCGAATGAAAAATGTCAAAATCTTTCTTCAGCCACTAGAATGCGGCTACGTTTGGTTAGCAACGATGCTAGTTAGCAGTGGCTAACGGATGAGCGTGCATCAGAGGACAGATCACAGTATGAATTAAACCAAAATAACTTTATTAATGTGAAAATGTTTACTTACTTCATGGTGAAGTAACTCAGTAGGTTACACGGGATATAAACGGATGCAGGAATTCTCTCTCTCTCTCTCTCTCTCTCTCTCTCGAGTGATTTGATCCACTTCCGGGTGATTTCCCGCCTCTACTGCCGCCTGCTGTTCGGATGACTTAACTACAAGCTACGTTTATGTGACTAAGATAAGATAACAACACAAGTATTATAAATAATAACAATAAAACAGAATTATAATAATAAAACAGTAAAGAATATTAAATATAAAATAAGTAAAAACAGTAAAAAATCCACAATAACTCAAATATTATACACACAGACAGAATATTTATAATGCACAGATTTTTAGTGTAAACATCTAGCATTCAATTTATATTGTTGTGAATGTTTATTAAAACATGCGTTTTTATTAGAGGGCCATTAGAGTTATTTCACATTATTATAGATATTATTATTTAATTTGCAGGTTCGCCGCCCGTCCAGCAGGGGGCGCTGTGCCGTTATCCGCCATCTTCTTGACCCGGTTTGTAAACACAAGTCTGTCAGTCGAGAGCCAGGCAGCTAACTATGAACACTGACATTGTGTTTCAGTGAAGCTTTAAATGCTCCACTGTACTGCTTTATTGACCAGTTTATCATTCACGGGTCTCCTGTGAATTCTTAGAAATGTAACGTAAAGTAGGCTAACTTTAATGTGCTAACGTTAGCCTGGCTACCGTTAGCTACAGTTAGCATCAGTAAAATCAGGTTTATTTCTATTCATGGCTTAGTAACAAATAGTTAAAATAAGTTACAGACAGTCTTCTGCAGGTGAGTAACGTTACAGCTATCAGTTAGCATTAATGTAGGCTAATAGTCTTAACACGAACCTCGTCACAATGTCACTGAATTTAACTTTACTCGTTTTTACATCTCACGTGTGTGTAAAAACTATTCACGATGTTTCTTTAACGCATCTGGAACTTGTGATGAATTCGGCATGAATTAAATCAGACTTGTCTCTGTCTAATTTGTTTTAATTAAAAGTTAAGAATGACTTCATGTACTGTAGTTACTGTCCTCATCTTAGGGGGATATTTAACCTAAGTTTATAGTCTGCACGACAAGCAAACGCCCAAGTTATTTACCTCCATACATATCTCATTTATTTATGTATTGGTTTATTAGAACAGCGACACATTAATAAAAACATTGCTGTAATTGCGCCAAGAGGCAGATGTTACAAACTAAACCTGAACACAGAATATAAGGTTACATTTACAAAGTTATGCAATATTGACCCTTTACAATGAAAGAAGAGAGAATATTGAGATATACTGTCTGTCTCTCTCTCTCTCTCTCTGTCTGTCTCTGTCTCTCTGTCTGTCTCTCTGTCTGTCTCTCTGTCTCTCTCTCTGTCTGTCTCTGTCTCTGTCTCTCTGTCTGTCTCTCTGTCTGTCTCTGTCTCTCTGTCTGTCTCTCTGTCTCTCTCT